CCATCCATCCATCCATCCATCCATCCATCCATCCATCCATCCATCCACACACCCAGACAGTTAAATAGCCACCTCTTATCAAGCTACACAACAGATGGAGGGGAATTCAACTCTCTGACCTCAACATCTTTTTCTTTTTAGTTCTATCGTTTGTAGGTGAAATAGAATGTTGAGGTTTAGCAAGTATTATAATGTTTTGAAAGTCCCTATTTCTCTTCCCAGATTTGTTGTTATTGTTGTTGTTTGTTTCTTTATTTAGTTGGGGGCACTTTTTCTGTGCAAGGTCTGAACATCAGATGAAGAAAAAATTACACTTTTCTGCCCTTACAAAATTTGATAGATGTCACATAAATGAAACCGCAGATAATCTCAGGTCAGGGCTCTGCAGCTGCATTTTGCCTCACGGTGTCCCTGTTAGGCCTGACATGGGTGCTAACACGGGTGAGGACAAAGCAGTGCACAGGGCTGTGGCTGCAGGAATCTGCCGTCCCTGTGCATCCAGGGACACTTTGAATCCCACGGTGATGGGAATAGAGGGGAAAGGGGGTACAGATGTAGGGATACGGGAGGGTGGCTGAGGCCAGGCGGCAGGATGAGGGGCAACCTGGCCATCATTTGCCTGGGGATGCGCATCCAGTTGGAGCGTGGTGCCATTGCAGTGTAGGTGCCACAAGGATTTCCCTGCAGGATGAGGGCACCAAGTACCAATCCCTAATTTGGAGACCTTCCCACACCCTCTCGGCATCTCCCGATCCAGAGCTCGCCGGTGCAGAGGGGGTAAACAGCAAAGGGAGAGGGCGGAGAGAGAAGGCGGGGGCGAGGCGGGCCCGGGGCCGCCAGGGGAAGGCGCTCGCAGCTTTCCCGGCTATAAAACGGCGAGGCCAGGGCCGGGCGAGCAGAGCGGTACGGAGGGAGAGCGCGGCACGGAGCGGCACGAAGCGGCACTGCTGGGCTCGCCCTGCCCAGCGCCCGGCGGAGCGGAGGTAACGGGGGCGGCGGGGAACCGGGAACGGGAGCGGCCCCGAAGCGCCAGCAGCCTCGGGAGCGGCTCCGGCTCCGCAGCCGCTGAGCGCGGGGGGCTGCTTTGTGTGTCCTCCCCGTTGCCCTGTGCATATCCTCTCCCCAAAATGGTCTCGGACTCAAAGCCACCGAGGAGCAGAGCTGGGGGGACCCCCGTTCCGTCCCTGCGCGAGCTCAGAACTCATTCTCACCCAAGTCCCTCTGATACGAGCTGGAAGGACACGCGGATGCAAAACTCAGCCTCGGCTCTATTGCCTTTGCCCTCCGATTTCTGTGTAATTTGAGTTGAGGATCCTTTGGTGCCGCTCTCACAGAGCCATACGGCAGGATACGGGGATGTGGCAGTGCTTGCTGATGTCCTGTGGATGCGGGAAGCGGCCCCGCAGGGGGCTCAGCGACCTGAGAGCTGTGCTGGCATCAGATCGGACAGAGCATCAGGAAGCACTACCAGGGTTGCTGCAGAGAAGCCCCTTTTCCCTTCAGTCCCAAACCCCTGCACAGAGCGTGGACTGGACTGGGAGCCAGGTTTATGTGAATGCTAATTTTGAGTGTCCAGCAATGTCAAATAAAAAGCTTGCCTGTGGAAAATGCATGAATATGGGGTATCTGACCCATGGCTGGATCTACAGTGCAATGTTTCATGGCTGGGGAGATCCCAGCAGTCCTCATCTTGGCCTGAGCCTCTATTGAGTACTTTCCAGGAGCAGCATGGAGTAGGAGTGCCTGCAGCACAGCCACTCTGTCCTGTACACTTGCATTTCTCACAGCCCTGTGGCTCATTAACTCCCCTCCTGCTCCCTTGGCATGCTAATCCAAGATAAGGATTAGGGAAGAGAGCTGACTTCCAGGCTGCCACAGGGACAGGGCTGATCTCATACTGCTCACAGGTGGAACGGGAGTGTGATTGGGTTTGGGGTTGGCGGGACGACGTTGGCTGGCAAGCTTAACCTGGGCACGGTGCTGCTTTGTGTTGCAGGTGGGAAGCAGCAGTAGCTCACAATGGCCCTGGCGGACAGCGCGGGCTGTGCCAAACCCAGCGAGGATTTGCCTTTCCCTGAAATCATTGAGCTCAACGTGGGCGGACAAGTCTACATCACCCGGCACCCCACCCTGATCAGCGTGCCGGGCTCGCTGCTCTGGGAGATGTTCACGCAGAAGAACATCCGCTCCTTGGCTCGCGACAGCAAGGGCCGCTTCTTCGTGGATCGGGACGGCTTCCTCTTCCGCTACATCCTGGATTACATGAGGGACCAGCAGCTGGTGCTGCCCGAGCACTTCCCGGAGCGCAGCCGGCTGCAGCGAGAGGCTGAGTACTTCATGCTGCCAGAGCTGGTGAAGATGCTGGCCCCAAAGCTCAGCAAGCAGAATTCTCTGGGGGACGACCCGTGCCAAAGTGACCCTGAGGAGCCATCCCCCAGCGCTGACACCGCCCGCAGCCTGACCGCTGCCAGTGCCGCGCTTACCAGTGCTGGGGCTGGCGGTGCCGGGGGCACGGGCACAGCAGGCGCTGCTGGCCCTGACATCCGCAGGGCTGGGTTCATCACCATCGGCTACCGTGGCTCCTACACGCTGGGCAGGGACAGCCAGACGGATGCCAAGTTCCGCCGGGTGGCGCGGATCATGGTCTGCGGCAAGACGTCGCTGGCCAAGGAGGTTTTTGGGGATACCTTGAATGAGAGCAGGGACCCAGACAGGCCTCCAGAGAGGTACACCTCCCGGTACTACCTCAAATTCACCTTCTTGGAGCAAGCCTTTGACAAACTGGCCGACGCTGGCTTCCACATGGTGGCTTGCAACTCCACAGGCACCTGTGCCTTCGCCCATGACCAGACAGACGACAGGATCTGGACCTCTTACACCGAATATGTTTTCTATCGTGAGTGACACCAAAAATAAACACCTGTCCAACCACCGAACGCCAACTCTCCCTTTCCTCTCCTGTTCCTTTAGAAGGTAGACATCCATACCCTGAATCCCAGCATCCCCCTTTTGTCTCCTTTTTTGAATTTGTTCTTGGGTTTTTTCCCTTCCTTTCTCCACTTTGATCCTGTTTGGCTCCTCCTTGTAGCAGCAGCTGTCGACCACCAGACTCCTTTCCTCTCTCCAAATCCTGCAGTAGATCCCAACCCTCCTGGACGCGTGGACTTGGACATTGCCACAGTGCGTTTTTTGGGTGGGAGGGATGGGACACCGAACTGTGCCAGGATCCCATCTGCCCAGGATCCATCTGTGATGGATACCGAACTCGGCTCTCATGCTCTGTGTTCCGCAGCCAAGCGGGACCATGCTGCAGACACTGTGCTTGAGCATCCGAGGAGCCCAAGTGTTGGGTTAAGGATGTGGAGAAAGGTGGGCAGCAGAGGGAAAAGCAGCTGGAGGGAGGATGCAGCCTCACAGCATGGATATATTGCCATTAGCTCCTGTAAGCAGCTTAGCGTTTCGACTGTCGGTGCTGGGGAAGGTTAGCTAAAGCCGCACCCTCACCCTGTGTCAGGGTTTCTAGTCCGAAGCATCACTGCTGCCCTGGGGTGCCTCAGTGGGTGAGATGGGGGGGGCAGGGGCTGAGATGCTTGTTGGGGGGAGGTGGGGAGGGGAGGGGGGCTTGTTACTATAGGGCGTCAAATGCTTACACATCTCTCAAACTCTTGGAGGGCTGTCCAAAATGTGTCCTCCCCTCTCTGCAGGCTGCAGGGGGATGGGTTAGGATTGTACTGGAGGCATCATCTGGGCTCAGCCCCTGTAGGTCCAAAGGAATAATTGCCAAATGTGTTGCACTTTGGGCAGTCTCTCTGAAGGTCTCTCCACTCGCAGCTCTCCGCAGCCTGTCAGGGCTGGCTGCTGCTTTGCTGGGCGATGTGTAATAAAGGAACAAAACCCACTCGCCCGTGTGTGCGTCTGCCAGGAGGTTTGTGTATGCACCCGGGGGGTTGCTTGAGCAGGGCAAAGGGAGTGATGTGCATCAGTGCGTGTTGTGTTCAAACTCAAATCTACCTTGCCTCACTTTGCCCCTCTCCTCCTCTTTGAGCCCTGCCAGCTGGGCAGCTCTGCAGGGATGCTGATGCGATCCCAAATCACCCACTGTCATTCCCTGGTCCATCCCCTGATTCCTCCCCATGGCTGTGCTGGATCTCAGCATCCCAGCACGCACCTCCCTGCCTTGTTTCTCATCTCCTCGAGCGGCAAGAGGTGAAGCCCTGGGTTAGGGAGCTTTGCCAGCTGGATGCCAGCCAAAGAGGCATTTCTGCCCAGGGTTCAGTCAGGAGGGAGGCTTGCAGCAGGTTTCCAAAGAAGCAGGAGGGCTGAAGCCTTCTGGCACACAGGGATAGCTACAACTTTACGGCAAGACATTCTATGTCTGGATGAAGCAGAAGGTGAAAACGCTATTTTTATAAGGGCACATTCCTCATTGCAACAGCACTTTAAAGAGGAAATTACAACCAGCTTGCAAAAGAGAAAAGGGAACTTTAGCTCTTCAGAGAGGATGAAGGGCAGAATTAAAATCCTTTTACGTAGAGGAGGATGGACACTGTTTAGTTGTTGGGTTTTTTTAAAACTAAAGATTTTCTCTTTTAAGCAATTAGGACTGATTGGAAAAAGAAATTGCTGCCTTATGAGTAATGCCAATGTTAAGATATTTGCTTTTCCCCTCTGGAACTGGTCTGAAAAAATGAATCTCGTGGGATAAAGTGTTTTTCCCAATTGGGGAACCATAACAACAAAGTGAATGTGGTGTCAATCTGCAGGGCTGTGTGACGTGGGCTCTTAAGCACTATACCCCGTGCAAAATATGATTGGAGCAGAATGTTTTGAATCATTTGAAAACCAATACATTATGTAAAAATACTGTCACTGAGGTCTAACTCTCTCAGCTCTGACAAATTTGAGGCTGTTTCTTTTTATTTTCTTTGAATACATCCAGTAATAGAAAGAGTGTGCATTTACTGCAGCCCAGGGCTGGGAGGGAGGAGAGCCTGGTTAATTGGATCCTTAGGAGAAACAATGTGCATAGAAGAGGTGGTGCAGAAAATCATCTGATCGAGGTTGTTATCCTCTGAGCCATCACAGCAAGTCACTCAAGCAGGGCAAAAAGAAGTGGGTGGCTGAGGGCAGGAGGGAAGCTCTCTCTCACCAGGGTTTCAAGGAAAAAGGGCAGATGGTGCTTTCCTGGTACCACCTCTTTTGCCTGCTGCTCCTTCTCCTGAGCATTTCTGTTCAAGGGAAGTGTTGGGTCTTGCTCAGTTTGCTTCCCTCGAGCTTGCTGGACCTAAGGTGATCTTTGCCTTCCCAGGAGGGCAGCACTGTTCTTCATTCACCCCCGGGGCTTTGAGGAGGAGCTGACTGCCCCAGCTCAGTGGCGGGTGGCTTTGCTGTCATCTCCATGGATGGGCACGTGGGCTATGCGTGGGCAGACCAACTGCTGTCAGCATCCATAGTAAATCAGAATGGGTTGCACGTGTGTTGGGGGATTAGTCGTGTGTTTGCAGAAGTCCCCAGCCAGGAGGTATCCTTGTGATTCTTTCAATCTGACCTGCACTGAGCCGTCATCGGCTTTTCTGAAGGGAGCCCTGCTGTGAATGAGAAGTGGGAACTGCATTAATCTAGAATCATACAAGCCAACCCATCCCTATGTTTGACAGGTTGATAGTTGGACTCGATGATCTTAGTGCTCTTTTCCAGCCTTAATGATTCTATGATTCTATATGCCAGACCACCTGCTTTGCGGGTGGGTTTGAGCATGCCATAAGAAGCCCACAACCTCCCAAGGTGGCCTCAGTGAAGTATGGAGTCCCTCACAGAGGAACATGGAGCACGGTGGGTGAGAGCATCCCTTGGGATGGTGGCTGCTCTCACCACAAAGCTTCCCCAAGCTGATGCAGCAGCTGCTGAGTTTCAGAAAGCCAGGGCTCTGTGCTCAAGGGGAGAGGCTGAGCTTTCAAAGCCTTTTTTCCCGCTGAGGGATAATGTAACTCACCCTTTCATTTAGAGGTCCCTAGAAAACCATCCATCCTAAAATAATATCACTCATTCAAATAAGCGGGAAGGTGAACCCATGGGTCTGCATTCCCAGGCAAGCGCTCTGCCCACAAATTGCTGGTTATTGCTCTCTCGGCGTCTTGTTCTGCACAACAATGCAGATCTGAGCAGCCTGCCCTGTGAAACAGAAGCCAAATCCCATCTGTCTCCATCAGACACTTCTGCCACTGTGAGAGAACATCTGAAAACATTTTGTTTCTGGGTCTGTTTTCAGTTCTTCCATGAGGGAGCACTTCGGTGGCAGAAATGCCTGGTTGTTTCAGAAGCTCTGCTCTGTCCTGCCAGGATGCAATAAGGATGGAGGAGATCAGTATCTGTGGCTGGGAAGAGGACAAGGAGGTTCTTACAGGGTCCTTGCCTCATGAAAGAGCAGAAGATAGAAATGTTAGATGCAGAATCCCCATCTACCACCTGGAAATCCCAACCTGGAGGAGACCTGAGACTGCTCAGCACATCGGAAGATGGAGAGCTGCATAAGCACTTCACCAAAGGAAGCTTGTTCAGTCTGTGCTGACAGCTTGCTCTGAGCTTAAGCTGGTGACTTTGTGACTTGCAGATGATTTTCTTAAAAGGCTTTTCAGTTAAAAAGATTTTGCATAGTCCCAGGTAGTAGATGGCAGGGAATTATCACCCCACCTCCCCTGGGAGAGCTGTGCAGTATCTGATTGAAAAATGTTCTTGCAAACAGGCTACAACAGATTTCATCTAAATGAAGCTCGACCTCATAGAACAATCACTACATCCTGTGTCCCCTTTCCCTCCTTACCCTTTTCCAGGCTTGAGGCACTGTGCTGCAGGGTGCACTTTGCCAGCAGTACCTTTAACATGACTCCTAAGGACCCCAACATTCCAGGCAGCAGGACGAATCTTCCATCAGAAATCCATTTTCCCTCTGTTCAGACAGTACTCTGGAGAACACAAAACTTCACTCAGCCCCACAATTTACTACTTCCAGCCCCAAACTGGATGATGTGATTCAGCAGGAGGCAGATGAACATGACACCATTATGGAGGATAAGCTCAGCTCTTTGCTGCATGCCACCCTCTCTTGCAATTCTAATCAGGGACATAAAGAGCATTAAGAAAAGCATTTTTGTGCAAAACACAAATCAGCTGGCAGGGGGTACAGGAGGAGCTGTACAAGCCCAGCCTTCCTGGATGAATTTAGGAGCTTTGCCAAATGCTAGTGAGGGACTAGCAGGCAGGGATGGCACCACATTTCTGGTAGTTGAAGCAAGTGAGATGAAATTGGCCTCATCATGGTCCTCTCCTATCATCATTCAGAGGACCTCTAAGCAAGGCAGGGAGGAGGAACAAATTGCATCCTCTTTTTCCATGGCTGAGGTCCTTGGTATGTTCTCCCAAGCTGGTGCCATGGCTGACTCCATGCTAGAGTCAACGCCTGAGGACAGGAACCACATCAAGGCCACCACAGCTCATTCTGACACCCAGGGCCTTTCAGAGAGCTCTTTGGTTGGCACTCCAGTGCCCATGTTCCTCCAGTCCCCCTCCCCTGCCCAGACATGAGCTCAACCCTTAAGCAACAAAAGCACACGAGAGAACAGTCTTTGTGTGTTCCCTGCCTTATGTGAGCTGTACAGGCAAGCAGCCTGCTGAGCCCTTGCAGGATATGAAGAGAGCTATTTTTGTCCCCATGGAGGCAGCTGGAGGTCCTGAGCAGAGCTGGAGTATCAAAGATACTCAGATGCTTAAAGCTTATTATTTGAGCCACAGATGTTGCCAGACTGGCTCTGAGTACCCACACCTAAATGCCCAATGGACATAAGAAATGAATTATTCTTCAAAGTGGGGAGAGGAGGGCAAAGGAGGCAGTGCTGGTGCAGTGCAGCTGTGTACTGTTCCCCAGGTCTGATCAGATGGG